ATATATGTATATATACAGTTTATAATGAAGAAGACGTTATTTAAGGATGTATAATGGAAACAACTCAATTTAACACCAAAGCAATAATTTAGTCGATTTGTTTTCGATTTTTTTTCTCAATATCTTAGTAACATAGCTGCAGGTAGTTGGCTAAAATTAGGTAGAAAGCTGACAGTATAATTTACTGGTAATATGTTATTACCATTACATTCAGTCATAAGCAAAGTGAATGAATGTCTTCCTTTTTATTGTGTTGTTTATTGCATCATTGCACCTGGGATTGATAAAACACCTCCAATGTGAAGGTCTTCATTATTGTGGGCATATTCCAACAATATGTTTTATCTCATAAACAGCCCTGTCTGCTGCAGAAACTGCCTTGTCCCTAAAATGTGCTGAGGTGCTTATGGAGCACAAGTACAGGGTATTTAGCTTAGACATTTTCTATCATCTAATGATTCACTTCTAAATGTAACCTATTTTTATTCATATATATAGAGTTGACATTTTTTCTGCAGTATATTATAAGGATCTTTTAACCAGTCATATCTGTCCCTCCCCTAAGAAGCATAGAAGATAATGTCCCTACCACAGTCATGAACTCATGTGCACACAGTAGAACCAATGTTGGTGGACACTAGGTCAGCTACAAGAATGTTTGGAAGATCTGTGGGAGAAAAGCAGAAGCCCATGCAAGCAGAAGCACATCACACACAATGTAAATCGTGTTCTTGGTGGAAATCATGCTAAGAACCCCTGTGCTAACTCATAAATATGTCTATCTTACAAAATGTGTTATTTGAAAAAAAAAGAAGGGAACACTTAAATCACTTGCATTAGTAAAGAGTAGATCAGTAGCAAAGGTAGAATAACCATTGTAAGAGACCATTCATCCTCTATTGGACCTGAGATGGTATTTTCCATCCATTACCTTTAATCCTTCGTTCCCCAGTAAAACATTTACTGTCTATGCTGACTGCCACAGATCAGTGCAGATGTATGCTCTATAAACAATTCACTCATGATCACCCTTTACTGCTACATGAAAATTTGCTGTATGCTCCCATAGCCTTCCTCAGAGTTCCTAGTAGAAGGGCCATATGATGGGAAGGAGATTTTGTGCAAACTCCTAAAATAAGTGGCATGGTTAGGTTATAATATAGAGACCAAAACGAAGATTTTAGGTAATGAAAACCACAAAGGAGTGTTGCATCTGTAATTGTATGATTTTTATCATTTATATTTCCAGGGTCCTTCTGGTGAGAAGGGAAGCCGGGTAAGAATACAGACTTGTTCTTGATTTGTTTTAGCATGTGACTAATCTCTGCATAATAAGGTGGAAAGGTGGAATGATTAGCTGACACCATAGCTTTAATACAGTATACTGGTACAAAGTACACAGCTTATACTTTTATTAGATTTATTATATATGAAATACATTCATCCATTTCACATCAAGAGCAATAGTTTCCTACTATATGATATGCTATACCAAACCAGGTAAAGAAGCAGTGTGTTTTTGGTTGCAAGTCAATTTGCTGCTCTCTTTAGATTCATATTTTGCATGATTGTGCTGTGGGATCTTTAGGAACGTTGGTTTCTGCATGTATAAAAGCTAAGAGCAAGGAAACTTGGAAGTATTGTCTATAGCAACTTGTTAATGGTATTCCATTTGTAATCTGCATAGGAAAAGGACAGCTGGAATCTTATTGTTATGGGTAAAACTTCCACTGTTCTCTCCTGCAGTTTTTCTACAGGATGCCCAGTAGTATGTTGATTACATCTAAGCATGTTATATCACGCTGCAGCATATATATTATTTATACATTGAATACAGTAAACTGTGATCATTCCACCTAAAAGAACTTAAAGTAAAGCTGCCATGATGATTATTTGCGTAAATGTGTCTTTTGCAGTTTAATATCTGACTAGTAGCTGGCCAGAAGCCAATGGGGACATTTCCAGCAATACAAACTCAACAGAGGTTCTTTTCTTTTCCTACGCTAGCCAAAACTAAAACAAACACCCAAACAATGGTTTTCCTGGGATTGATTTAATTTCCTACCCTCCAACAACCTTTCAAAGCTACCAGTAGACACCGTACTGGTAGCTCAAACCTGGCTATCCCTGTCAACTTCTGTCCCCACTAACCATCAAGGCCCAAATAGAGTGGTTTACACTGCCTCATCATAGTAAGTATATGCCTGCTGAAGGCTTAATAAAAAAAAAAAAAAGTATTTTCAACTTGCAGAGGTCACTGCTGTAAATAGCAGTGTGCCTGTGTTCAATACTGTAATTGGCTGATAGAATTATAGACAAAAAAAATAATATATTTATAAAAAAAACAGAGGGGAATTTATCAAAACTGAAGCAGACAAAATCTGGAGCAACTGTGCATTGCAACCAATGTGACTATGGCAACCAAAGCTTAACTCAACAAAATGAAGCCGATTGGTTGCCATGGGCAACTGCTCCAAATTTTGTCTGCTCCAGTTTTGATAAATTCCCCCCACAGTATATATAGTTTTTTGTCCACTTGTCAGTCTATAGTAAAGAGCAGTGTTTTTCTTAAAACAGTGTGCCAAATGAAATATGAATTTGTCCTATGGGGCAACATTTTTTTCCATAGTTATCCTCAGGGTCATGGGCGGACATATACTAATGTCCTCCCGGGGCGCTAAACTCAGCATATAGTTTAGGCTATTGCACGCTATATGCTGAGAGCGCCGCAGCCGGGTCGTATCCCAACAATACTGTCGAGATCCACCCAGCTGGCTGATTGAGCTGTGCCTACTCTCTTCCCCATCCGTCCCTCCAGTCATCACTGGAGGATCAGGGAGGCGGGGGGAATCTCTGCAGTCACTGCTCTCTGCCTGGAGATGAGTGGTGATTGGGAAGTGAGCAGATCGGCAGTATGTGTTCGCTCACTGCTCGATCAATAGAGTCAATGTGCGACAGTTTCAATGTCACACATTGGCTCTAACTATGGGGATGAGTGTAATTCACTCACCCCATAGTTCTCCTTTAACTGAAACATGCTGACACTGCTAAATTTGGCTTGGGTATCTAGACTTGGGCAACCTCTGGACACAAGAGGGTTGAACCAAGCTCTTATGTATGAGGGTGGTATGGTAGGAGGAGAAAGGCTAGTAGAACAGAAAGAGACATAAACAGCCAAGAGATCAGGTGAATAATAAGTATCAAAGTTGAGAGGACAATAAAATAAAGTAAAATAAATAAAGAAGTAGAGAAAATTAATTTTAAGTGCAAAGTAAAAAAAAAAACTGAGCAACAAAAATAGACATACTGTAAATGGTGGTTTACATACAAGGCCATTTGCACCCACAACCTTTTGTTATATTTATTTACAACGAGTACAGTATTATAATGATTGCTTTTTCCTTTGTAGCATGATACTTATAACTTTGGATAGAGGAAGTATAAAAACCCTTTGTGGTTTTATTGCTGTCTGTGTCTCCTCTATGAGGATTTACCATCTCTGTTGGTCCTGATGATCATTTGCAGAAATATAGGTAGTGATGGAATCTACAAGTTTAGCATTGTCAAAAGGTAACTTTTCCAATGGGGACAACAGTTCCAGTGACAACTGTCTCAGAAATCTTTCCTCACTTTGTAGAGATTTCCTCTTACTTCCTGATGTACATCTAGGACAGGAACAGGACACAGACAGTAAAAAACATTTTTGCTTTATCCAAAAATTTACATTAAAGCTAATGCTGATCTTCGGTGAACTCTGGGGCATTACAGCATACAAGAGCTGATGCTATTTCCCCTAGTCTCCAAGTTCCATACACGTTATTGACACTTATTGTGTGTTGCAACAGGTCAGCATCCATGCTCAAGTGCTATTAGGTATATATTGATATAAGAGAAGATTAACATAGCACAATGAAACAAATGTACGTGTGTTAACAAACAAGTTATTGTTTTTGATATGTGTATGCTCGTATAGATTTTTGCTCATCACGTTTTAAAATACGTTTGTAGATATTAGGTAAGCATTCTAATGGACACTTGCAGTATTTCAGTATCATGGCAGCTCAGCTTTAAATTTACTAATTGTTATGTTTATGTTTACAGCTCCGAATTGTCTCCAAACAATAAAACTATGTAGTCACTTTTCATTTGGTTTCTCTGTTTACTAGAAATACAAAAATAGTCAATATTTATAGAAAAAGAATCTCAGACCAGTAATATATTCCAACAAGTGCTATCTGAAATCGATATTTATATAGCCCTGTTTACTTACACCCTGATGTACTTCATCCAGCCTGTATGTTTACCATTTAAATCAATTTAATTTTAAATTCTTACTTCATTTGGATCTTTCCTGATAACAGTTTCCACAATGTTAAGCAGTACCACAATCTAAACATAAAAAATATAAGGTTGCATTGGGAAAGCATTGCCTCAGGGTTTGCGAGATCTGTATAAAGGGCTTAAGCTTTCTTTCTTGGAAGAGGCACTTGACCGGTATTGTGGTTTAGTGCAGCCACATGACAAAATCTTAGAGAACACCCAACTGAAAAGAGCTGCCATCTCACTTGTGCAATGATCCCTTGCTCCATTTTCTTTTCTTCACTTTTATCGCGTGTGTATTTTCTTTGCTTTTCACAGGTTCACCTTTGTCCCCTTTATCCTTTTCCTTAACTTGTGCCTCTTTACCTGGGTCTTTCCTCCAACCTCCTCTGTAGCCTGTTCCATTTTTTCCCGGATTATCCTTTCTTTGTTGAAATACCTTCTCCTTGGTTTTCTTTTTTATTATTATTATTCTGCTTCTCACATCCTTCCACTACATTCATTTTAGCAAACCCACAATTGTGCCTCATAATTGCTTAATCTTCCCCTAGATTTTCTAATCTTCCTCAAACACACATAAAAAGCTTCTTCAGCCGTATAATAAAACACTCCCTATAACAGCACTAGTAAAATAAGCAATTCTTTACGTCTATCATGTTTTATCATCGCTAGCTTAATACATCATTTGTTGTCTGATTCTGAACTAATTTTATTGATGCCAGATTTGAACTGAACTACACATGAATCCTGTTTTTTCTTCTTAGTATTTGTTAAAAATCATTATTAGTAAATTAATATTTTGAAAAGTTATTTTTACATACATTGCATATCTAGACACCTCATGAAACTATGAAGAAGTCACTCGCCTGTGAAGGTTCTCATTCATCCAGGTCATGGCATATCTGGAAAAAATAAGTCAAGGCATCTGCATTGTGTATTTTAAATTACAGCAAGTCCAGTTGCCTTGACTTATTTTTTACAGATATGAAGAAGACATTTATTTAAAGAATTGTGCTTGATAGACACTTGATGGAAGAGTTTTTCCTGGTACATCACATGGGTTGTTCTATTATTCTTGGTAGGGTTATTGTTTAAGAAAAACATATTTTATTCACATTGCTTGCATCCATGCTTCCTGAAGTCCCTGGCGGTGCAGTCCCATGGGTGTACTTTAGACACACAAGGTTAATTCGTTCAGGATGTTTGGGCATCCTTAGGACTCACGTAAATGGGTTGTCTCCCTAAAAAGAAAGGTACCATGCTGACAAGGTGAACCCCAATAAGCACAACTGCTTTCCATGAGAAAGAACTGTTTCTCATCGCAGAATGTATGAATCAGACTTCAAATGATCTGCTGTTTTGTTTGTACTGAAAAGAAATTGTACAGAGTACTACTAAAATAAAGGAAATGCCTATATAAAATATAATTGTCATAATAGTGCAGCATGCTGGAACTCTTAAGAGTGTCTTAGTAATTTTTTTGCAAGTCTCTGGATTAACATCCCCATTCAGTTTTTAACATGAATTTCAGTTAGCTGGCAATCTTTTTTAGCAAATGATGGATGTGGAAAAGCATTTTAGAGAGATACATAATTGGTTTCACTTCAGTGTTTTCTTTTAAATTATCAACTTTTAAAGTGTAAAAATGCACTTTTACTTTTAATTGCTTCCTCGGCATAGTATTGGGATTCATGCAGAATTGCCTTTTGTCAACCAAATTTTAGTTGTGGTTGAAGCAGGGAACTGTGTTTTAGACCTAACTGTCTAAAATGAGATTTCCTCCTTACACAGTTATCACTGGAACAGATGACTTCATTGGAAGATTTCCCCTCTATTCCTGTTACATTGACAACGGTAAACTTTGGATTTTCCATTACTTTTTACCCATGTTTCCATGTGATAATGGTCACCGGAACACTGGGTTAATCTCCCTAGTGGCCACAGCAACACCACAGACAATATCCCGCGCCAATATGGGACCAAACGTGTGAAAAGTGCGCTGCAAACACTACAAGTATTACCAAGGTATACTGGAGTATGCTGGAGGATCGGAGCAAGGAGAGGGGGAATCCCTGCAGGGAGCCGTGACTGCCAGTCACTGCTCTCTGCAAGGAGATGATCGAGAAGTGAGTGATCGACGATATGTGTTTGCTCACTTCCCAATTTATTGACCCGGCGTGTGACAGTTTCATTGTCACATGTCGACTCAAACTATGAGGATTTTCACTCATCTCATAGTTCTCCTTTAAAGTGAAGCTATGCTGTGGCCAGAAGTAGAAAGTTAAGCTCTCATTCACACTCTATAACATGCGCCTCCAAGTGCCTGCATAGTGGATTTCTTTTTTTCTAGAGCAACTGCAAATACCAGTGTACGCTGACATACAAATAGCTGCCAGCTTCCATGGCCGTTCTACCAGTTTACTATTGGTCACTGTGATGGGTAACCTCACTAACTAACTAAAGGGCAAAAGACAAAAGTGGCAGATACAGTTGGTGATCAAATGGTTGACTATGTATCAGAGTACCATGGTGTTTTGAAGCTTGGTATTGCTCTAGATCAGGGGTAGGCAACTTTGTCCCATGAGGCATCGCAAGACTAACCGCCTCAGCTGTGACTCCTAGAAGCAGAAGCATACCAAGATTTGGAGTTTCACCAAAGCTGGAGTACAAGGTTGCCTACCCCTGCTATAGGGGTTCTTGCTATACAAGCATAGTGTAACTTTTTTATTATAGGCACAGGTTTTCTTTAAGCCATTTGATTATCTTTCTAGTATGTTTTCTTCTTGTTGACTACTGTTATGTTATTCCTTTAGACTTGTCACTAGTTTATGGGAAAAAAACATTATTGGTTGCTTATGTGCTTATTTTCCTCCATAGTTCGGTCCATTTACTAATGCGCATACTTTAGTTTGGTAGTAATCTGTACAATGTTTTCCGTTTCAAAGGATTAATAACCTGTTGAACATTTTCAATAAAGAATAACTCAATGAAATCTGTCAGTGTCTCTAAAGTCAAAAAGAACATTAGAGGTATAATCATAATCCAGAAAAATACAGAAAAGTAGACAACATCTGTACATTACCAACCACATTCCTTCACAATCTTACTACCCTTTTACATATAAACATAATTTACTATGAACATTACTGAACCTTAAGGCTTTCTATACATTTAACAGGACAGTATAGATAGTTTTCCATGTTATATATAACTTTGCTATTTACGGTATCTCTAGATAATATTTAACGCCATAAGTTTAAAACAACTTTGAACTGGATGATCCTGTAAGTTACTATATCTTTTGTTGAACTTAATTATTATTTGCAGGGGGAAAGGGGGAAGAAAGGCTCTAGGGGGCCTAAAGGGGATAAGGGAGACCAAGGAGCGCCTGGATTAGATGCACCCTGCCCGTTGGTATGTTTGATTTTTCATTTTCATTTTATATAGGACTTGAGGATGGGAAGAGCAAAAGAAGAGGTTTTCAGTTACATTTTGCATTTGATGACAATTTGTTTATATTTTCTTTTCAATTTAATTGATTGCACCCTATTGTATAGTTTTGAAGCTAAAAACATATACAGGGTTATTCAAAAAAAGAGTGAAAAGTTTGGAGAAGGCAAGAGAAGTGAACAATCTAGGCCAAAATAGCTGATTTAGAAAAAAATCTCCAATTCAGCTCACTTTCCAGTTCAGCTAATTTGGCATAGATTTTTCACTTCTCCTGCCTTCTCCAAACTCTTCACCCTTTTGTGAATAACCCTGTTAGTGTTCATTCATGGTCTTTACCTATCACTAGGCATGTATAAACATATTTATTGCAGGTTCTGTGAAGACAGGGGTTTCCTTTAACCGCTGGTAAATTTCTTCCCTTCCTCAAGACTACAACCGCCAAGTGGTATTATTTCTTGAACTGGCAAAGTTGCTGGACTTATTTAATTAGATTTTCCAAATTATTTCAAACGTTTGCTTTTTGCCAAACACTGCCCCCTTCCATTTTGTTTTATTTCCTGAAAAAAATAGTGTTTATACTGAAATATGTTACACATTCTGTAGAGTATACTTACTCAGCCCTTCACAGTGTGGGAAAAAAGGGTTTTACCTGTTCTAAAGAGATGCCCAGCAGCTTTGCCTTGACTAGAGTTATATACCATCAAAACAGGCATCTTATGGAATAATAAAAGTAGTTGATTTTGTAAACAGGGACAACGAGGTATAAAAGGAGAAAATGGTGATCCAGGGATACCAGGGCTGGATGGGCTGGATGCCCCTTGCCCATTGGTATGGCTTTAACAACCCTTTTTCCTGCATGCTTGCCAAAGTACCTAAATCTTCCTTGGCATGAATGTATAACTATGTATTAACCTGCACCATCCAAATTTATGTCTGTATACCTATCTGTCTATCTGTAACCATACCTCTGACTCTCAGACATTAAACTAGTAACTGACATACTATTTTCTATCATATTTTAGTACCAAATATTTCTCACTTACTAATAGTTCCCAGTCATTTTGTATTAGTATTTTAACAATATACTGTAAATATGGATGGTCTATTCTATAGGATTTTGATAAAATTAGCAGACATACAATTAGCAGACATGTCATTATGGAATAAGAACAACTTTTGAGTAGTTTGTTAGCATGAGTGTTTGCGTACCTATTGTTTGTTCTTCCGATCCATAAATGACGGGGGTAAAACCATTTACAACTAGAAAAAGTAATTCAGTACATAAGGCAAAGTCACTTACATCCTGTATAAAGTGCAAGTTCAGTCATCACTTGGATTGACTGTTACCCCTCATGCCCACACACTCACTGTTGTCTCAAAAGCACTTCATAACCACATACAGAGTCACCATGCCCATGGCCCATGTTTTGCCTGCTAAAGACAGTATTGCTCACACATACATGGTGTGACTCAATATTCCCAAGGACTGAGGCTAGCTGTAGAATCACACAGGACTAACTCAGACAGATTTCAGGGAGAGGTTATCCCTACATTAAATTTGCTCCAGATTAATAGGGTAATATGGTAATGGTGGGGATTACTGGAAGAGGAGGCAGTGTGCCCTAGAGAAAGCTACTTCTTTCACCTATAACTCACACAGCTCTACATGATATGCCTCCCTCTACTGGCACATAATTCAAAACCTTGTACATTACGTTCACCTTAATTAAAGGGAATAGAGAGTCAGTGTAAAGATACCATGTTCTTAACTCACTCTTTCTAACAAGCACTTTCTATATTACTTACTGCGGACCAATTTAACAATTTCAACTTGCTAAGCAGACCTTTCTTTACCGTAACATGCTTGTAAAATTCAAGGCTCCTTACCTGATGCAACAGTGCATTGGGTTGGACTATGTTTTCAATGGGTTGGTGGGTTTGCAGAGTGTAAAAATAAACCCCAAGCTCAATGAGATATTACTTATTATTACATATTAAATTAAGGACTTTTTACTTGTAGGATTGCCCAATTGCTGCTGATTTATGAAACAGTGTTGTCTAAAATACATACATTTTATTTGGAATTCTTTGTCAGTAGTTACAGTTTCTATGCATGGAATTGAAATTGTCTTAATTGTATTTATGTTTAAAGAGCAAAGGGCACAAGCATGCAAACAGAGAGGTTATTCTGGAGAGGTGCCAGCCTTAGTACACATACATACTTGCCAAAATACCTATGTTTCATATGCTCAGGGTTTTTGCTAGCAAAATTAGTATGGGTAAGTAAACATTGAAACTATGGTTAGTGGATTTTTGTGTGTCATTAATTCTGGCTTTGCTTTAAAAAAGACCAAGAGCATGGACTGTTTTTTTCAAGCTTTTAGGAATGTTGGCAATTATATTTACATGTAAAGACATATGCAGTGATGAAATAGCATGTTATGAATGAATTGTGAATTGGAGGCTACAAATGTATTGTGGCTGTTTGTTGCCTATGCTACTATCAAATTCTCTTTGGTGTCTTCATAGTTAGGCAACTGTACTTTTAATAATATGCAAATATTGTTCATGTGTGAGCTCCAAATTGGACAGATAAACACCAACAGTGTGGCAGATGCATGAATTAAATTCATGTTCTCTTGTAGTTTATTGGTTTTGTGGAAACCAGTTACATTAGTGAAGTTATTTTGTTTTTGTAAGTTAAGGTACTTGAGCTCAGAATTTTTAGTGTCAGTGGCGTCAGTAGGGGTGTGCATATTACATCCATTCTCCGATCTGCTCTGTGCTATCAGTAAGACAGGAGAGCTGTACTTACAGTGCTTCCTGTCTCAGCTGTCACAAGCCGGGCTGCACAGGAGATCAATCACAATTCTGTGCTCAATCTCCTGTATCGGAGGGCAGGGGAGACATTCTATCATTTTCTTACTGAATACTTTTTTTAGTGGGGTGTCACATCATAAGTTACCACACCGGGTGACACCAGCTCTAGTGACGCCTCTGTTTAGTGTGACAATTTTAGTGAAGAGAGGGTGCTCTTTAACATGGGTACGGTTTATGTTTGTCTGGGGTTTACATTTTAAGACTATTAAGCAAAGTGTTGTTTCTACATAATTAAACACATGAGATTGCCAGAACTAAAGATATTTGTGTTATGGGATATTTTTTTACATACATCTGACTTTCTAGTAATTTCCTGAATACAGCCAGCTGCAACTACTATATCTTTAGCTAAGAATGTGTGTTAACATCAGACATTTTCCTAATACATATTTGAGAATGATTTCCTGGCTTTTTACATAAAGTGGTGTGTGCTTTAAGATTTACTAAGCTTTTAATTACAAAAAAGCACTTTGGGAGCCAACCTTAAAGCTGCTATTATGTTCACAGTCTAAAGTGATAAAAAAAACATACCAAGGGAATAATAGGTAAAGCAAAGCATTGCTAAATAATGAGAGTTCTGCCAGTTTTATCTCAGTGCAATATGATATAAATGTACTGTTTGGTTTCCATAGGGAGAAGATGGTTTACCAGTACAAGGCTGTTGGAATAAGGTAACACATGTACTTGTCTGTAAACTGTGTTTTGAATGTTGGAATTATGTCTTGCACATTTTATGTGAGTTTTTGTTTTGAAATGATAGATGCATAAATCAGCCTGCTGTTAGTGGTAGCATGTTGCTCTCCGTTGTGAACTGGGCAAAAAACATGTGTAGCACTTGTCTCAGCATGGATTATTGCTTTGAACCTAAAACATTTTAACCTGTTTCTTTTGATGTTTGTGGTTCTGCAGGAATGGCAAGTACTTGAGCTATGGACTCACTATGCATGAACTACCCCAGTAGTTAAACTGGGGAAACAACTTGCTAGATTTTTTTGGGCTGCTCTTGTTACCTGAGTTTGTTGAATGAACTGCACGTGTCATAAGAGAACAAAAGAGGAAAGCTCACACAAAAGTTTCTCAGGGGTAGCAATGCATATTAATATACCAAGGTGTATGTTAAAGCGCTGCTCAAACTGTTGGCGCTATATAAACCCTGCAATCCTTCAAGGGCCATGAGAAATGCTACCCCTCTGTCTTCTGACTCCCTGCTGTCATAGATTGCCATCCTCGTTATTTAACCATCTCTTCTTTAGTGCTTCCCTCTTCTTTCTCCTTTTTGGAATCTTCTGAACAATATTCAGGATTATTTTTCTCCTACCCTTATCACATGACTAAGTCATCTATGAAACTGTCTTTTTATATCTGCTTCTGATGCTCAGAATTGTAAAACAATTTCAGTGAAAGGACTAAAGTTAATACATTTGGTTTATCATTTTCATGCTCTGTAAAAATCTTTCTTAAATGTTTTATGAGCATCACAGGGCTATATTTTATATTTTTTCAATTTAATTATTCCCTACCCGTTCCATCTAATTTACTGTAATTTACTGTACTCTAATTTACTGTACACATTAACAGGGCTATTCACAAAAGGGTGAAGAGTTTGGAGAAGGCAGGAGAAGTGAACAATCTAGGACAACATAGCTGAACAAGGAAGTGAGCTGAATTGGATGATTTTTCCAAATCAGCTATTTTGGCCTAGATTATTCACTGCCTTCTCCAAACTCTTCACCCTTTTGTGAATAACCCTGTAGGTGTTTATCGTATATTTGTTCATCATTTCCTTAAGTCTTATTCAGACTGACATTTTTCTTATACCATGATTGCACATAGGTGATTTAGAAAATCCTTTTATTCCTGGACAGGGTCCTCAGAGCTATAGTATTTCAAGCCACAACTACCACAACTACAGTATTTCAAGCCAACTACAACCAAAACCTTTTGTTTTGTTTTGGGTAGAGTAAAGAATTAACAGAACATCTGTCAGGGTTTTTTTTTTATTGCTGTCTGTGTCTCTTTTAGAGAGATTCACTCACTCTGTTTATTGAGCTGACTATTATCGCCGAGAGTGAACTTTTGAGTTGATCCTAACTTTTGAGTTGTTACCAGAGCAAGAATAGAGAAATATTCTTCAAAATCTCCCAAAGGGAATACAAGTTCTGGTGACAACTGTCTAAGAGGTGATTTCTCTCACTTCCTGTTGTGGCTACCGGACAGTGTGTTTCTCTCCTGGGCGGCCGGGAGCGGGAGGCTCCTAGAGCGCCCCGGGAGAGTTTTTTTTTCGTTTTTTTTTTTACATTTTCAGCCGATGTACGGCTGAAATCAGCCGTACCAGCCTGAAGTGAATAGCCGAACAGTGTTCGGCTCACTTCAGATCGGTCTTTCACTCGGCTGCCTACGGCAGCTTAGTGAATAGACCCGTAAGAGAAATCTCCAGAATGGGTCATAGATGACAGACAATGACAGCAGGTAAAACCCTCCCCTACTCTATTTACAAAAAATGGCTTTAGTTCTATTTGGGGAATTATTTATTTTGGGATATGTTTCTCTATCTGGTTCGGCTACCATGACTCAAAAGCCTCCTTCCCCACACACACACACACACACACACACACAAAACTCATTTACTGTCAGGATTCTTGATCCAGCAGGGCACTACTTATTTGTTTACGGTGATAAACATTACAAGTCTAGCATTTAAAAAAAAATTATGTTAACTATATTGTACGTACCCCCCACCTTGCCGCCTTGGTTCAGAGTGTCTCTAATCCCCCCAAAAGGCCACTAACCTGCTGATCTAAAGATCATTTTTGTAACCACCATCTGTAAACACACCCATCTCAGGCTTCCCTTAGAGATCAATTGCACTAGGACAATTAAAATAGTTATTGGAGATATATATTTATGTATGTAAGTATGTATGTATGTATGTATGTATGTTATTAATGTGTTTTTCCGCTATATATAATTTAACACTACAGAAAACTGCAATTTAAAGCCTATACTTTGAATATTAGCAATTCAGCTTTTTAGTTTGCAGCATTGTAGGTTTCCGTAGTATCAATATGTTGATTCCAAGCATTCCAAAAGTGTCATGCATGTGGCAATACAGGATTTTTAGGATCACTGGATCTGTTTGTAGGTGAAGACCTACCTACCTAAGTTGTAGCTGAAAAAAATAACATGAAACCTACATGTATTTAAAAAATGAGTTTGAATTAAAGTGCCCATCACTGGCCTGGGTACACTGCATTAACGCTTTGTGCTTGGGAAACAGCTTTTTATTGTCTTAGCACTGGTAGCTGACCCATTCATAGCAAGTCTTGGACACAAAGGTTGGCATACATAGGATCCAACATTTCTAAAATAGAAAGGACAACTGAGGAAACACAAAGAGTATAGTACAGTGTCAATGACTGCATCCCCTTCTTTCATCATCCCAAATTTTGGTAAACAATCTAATGGCAAGGTCTATGCAGGAGAGGCTGAGAATCCATTTTCATTAACTGGATATCAAGGTTCTAATTTCCCTACCCCAGTCTCAGAAGTCTTGATATTGATTGGGTGTGTGAAGTAATTTGATGACATCTGCTCATGTAGGTAGTCATGTGCAACCTATTATTGTTGTACTATCTTGAAGTTTGGCACTGGCGTCAAACTACTTATTTTACAAAATGTGGTCCTATGTGGTCCTATGTGGTCCTATGGTCCAATGTGGATGGCCATCTTTTTTGTTGATTGGGACACCCATTCTGAAGCACGATTCAGAAGGACTTGTCCCTTATACTTATCAGGAAATATACCTGTTTTATTGGTTAGTGAGTTTACAAAGTAACTACTGGAACATATAAATGGTTCCAGAAATCACACCTTTATTTCTTCCTGTCACAATTTGTTAATAAGTTTCCATGCAAGTACTAGGATTCCAAAACTAACCAAGTTTATGTTTTCTTTTGCAGTGATCGTTCTAACCTGGGAATGTCCTGTGTGTCTGTACATAGAATATTTATTTTTATACAGTGTTCCGTAGAAACAAAAAGAAAGACATACCAAACTTTATTCAATTTTTGTACATAAATACTAAAAAGTTTTTGTTTTTTTTGAACAATTTGTGTATATTTTCTTGTTTTTGCTTTTCTAATATTTGTGAAAAATGCTGCTGTATTTGCATGATATTTGTGCACAGTTATTAAATGCTCTTTAAGTTATTATACTTTGGTGCCAAAAGTACATCAGAGAAATGATGGCCGTTTACCTGAGTATGATGGTTAATAAAAAAATATGATGTTCTACACCTCCGGCATTTTAAATGAATCAATGTTTTTTTGTTTTCTGTAACACTTAAACTCCCATGCTATAAAAAAATATGTGTATTTGTAACAAAAAAAACATTTAGCGTTGGGTACTAAAAGCATCTTAAACCCAAAGTAGTAAAAAAGAAAATATTTGTGGCAAGAAAAAGATGAGTTTTATGTTTCAAATGATAGTATGCATTAAAATACAAACTAAATAAAAAATATGTTGGCTTTGTACTTATACAGGCCATAGTGCCAAATGCTTCCTATTTTTCTGTTATGCACCATTTAAGGCCAAAGAAATCATATTACGGCAGTTTACTGCAACCTTTATCTAATAAAATTTATATGCAGAAAAAACATTCACTGCAAGACAGGACTTTTAGCTCATATATCAGTTCTGCTAAACTTATAAACTTATGTTTATATTTATGAAAGTTATTGATTACCCTTATACCAACACATTTTAAATTTAGGTTTACTGGCTAGTTGAGGGTAAAATGATGGCTTCCTACCATAGCCAGCCATTAAAGTTTTGTTACACATATCATGATTTACTCCTTGCCCTCTTCTGGAAGGGGCGGGGTAGAGTAAGGCTCTTGCCTTTTAAGTTGTGTGATAGACCCTGACAGAGAACAAGCGCTGCATGGTCTACAGGTTGAAAATACTTTGTACTAAATGAAAACCATCTGTCACAGAGACGGCATGGAATGTGGATTGCTCTGAGGTCCTGGGAGAACCAAAGTTCAAATTTTTCTTTTAAGAACCTTAGAGGTGTGTGTAAAAATTGCCTGCTCTATCAGTGCATTGTATGTTCTGCTTGTAATGCATGATTGCATTCTGTAATTGTGTGCTCCAAATTACTGTCCCTGTGTTTTTATACTTAAAGCAGCTCTGACATTGTCATAACCAGGTGTAAAGTTCCTAATAGGTCAAAGCAGAATCTAGTGCGAAATATCTGACGGTATAGTAAATTGTGTTTTCATCAACACACCTTTGTTTATTTAAAGAGCAGCACTGCCATATTTAAAAGCAGCATTGAATGTTTGCATTATTCTTTACCAATATTCTAAAACCAAGACACTAGAGTTACATTTCACCTGTATTTTACAGCTTAGACTAAACCTACAATACAGTAGTTATCTGTGGCTTTCAGGAGGCAAAATTAGCATCCTTCCAGGAGGTCTTCTATACACATATTGACCATAGTCTGGAAGTGCATCAAACTCTTTTTCAAACTTATTCTGGGGATATTCACAACACTATCATTCCCAGTGAGTTTTAAATAGGCTCTGTATTTATAAAAATACAGTTTGTATTTCAGTTGTGTTTATTAAAATGTATATATAACCAAAACTTTTTTTAAGTTTGGGATAAAGTAACGAATGCTTAAAACCCAAGTAAGTTAATTTTTTTCTGTCTGTATCCTGGAAGATTTTCCTTCACCACCTTTTCCAAAGGTGCAACAGAAAGTGGGAGGGAATCTGTATTAGGTTAGGGGAATTCTCTTCTTGCTTCAATTGTCACTGAAACAAGGGTGCCCATCGCAAGATTTACTCTCTATACCTATTCGTGTAAACTGTAAAAGTGTGGATTTTACATCATTTTCTGTCTCTGTGACAGTGATCATCAGGACATTGAGAGAGGATATCTGTAAAAAAATTAAATCAAGGTAACAGGACTTGCTATAATTTTCTTGAAGACGTTTCGCTGGTCAGAATTGAGAAAGCTAGTCCAGTTGCCTTGATTTATTAATTTTTACAGATATACCATGACTTGGATGAATGAGAACCTTCACAGACATTGAAAGAGGATAGGGCTATAAAAATCTGACATGGGTTCTAATGCTTTCCTACTCTGTCCAAAATTAAAGTTTTGGCTATACATACACTATTTTCATAACGTGTCTTTGCTCAATTTTAAAAATAACAGTCAAAAATACAGTTACTTGCTCAATTGTGAATGTAAATATTACCTGTCAGTCTATCATTGGCCAGTATTCATTTTTTGTTGTTTAAAACGATTATCAATATGAATATGAAGTAGTTATAAAAGCATAGAAAATGTTATTAAGTCTTGATTTCCCTGGTATAAAGCATTGTCAGTGCTGCTATATTTTCCAAAGCCTACTCATGAAAGCACCTTCATTTGGTACTTTAAGGGTCAGACTCCATGGCTAATAGCCAAAAAGTGAAGCCGGGCAGTAAGCAATAAATCTGATTTGGTCTACAAATGTGGAAGAAGATGAACATGTCTCCTAGACTTGATGACTTCATGAAGTCCATCTTCCGTTGAAAGAGTCTTGGTCACCAATGGATTCACCTATGGAGATTTAGTTGCCTGAAATTATGTTGTGTCACAACACAAGGGAGCTAGTGCACTGGTGTTTTTTATAGTTCCCTGTCCAATATGCATGACTGAATAGTCAGCAAGATTTGAACAGACTTGTTCTTTGGACATGAAATGAACTCCTACAATTATTGGAGAGTTATTTAATGATGGGGAAAATCAGTACAATATACAAGAAGACCAGAAAATCTCTCCAAAACACCTTTAGATGATTCCTCAATAACCCTCCCACTGCCTTTCACATACAAGCCAGTTGATCTGTGTATGAAGGAATTCCACTTGCGTCTTTGCAATTGTCTTCATATGCTCACTTTTATGCAGTGTTATTCACTATTATTTCTTAACACTGGCTACAGAATATTTATTGATTATATATATATATACACTGCAGCAGGGTTTATGATTTTATATTGCATTATATTGAAATATCTTTGTTTATATTAGAGTTAGATCTTTGGGGCCAGATTGACCAGGTCCTTGTACTGTACATGCAGGTCATACCTGAATAGATGCCCCTTCCCAGAGCATTTCCAGATGTCCTGCGATGTTCTTTGTTATTCTTTTCCATATTTAACATCTGATTTGCATGTATCCCCTTTACTGCCATAAGTGCTGAGTAAGCAATGTTCCACTAAGGGGTTGGCAATGAACTTTGACAGTAAGCTACAGTGATGATTTTATTGTGGTCAGTGTTATTCGAGATTAGAAATTAGACCCTCCTGTTCTAGATCTTGTAACTGTCATGAGGGGTTATTTCAGGTAACATTTATTTCAGCCTACATTGCGACCTTCTGGTTACAAATCTCACTTTTGTTCTGGGTGAGCTACAGTTAAACTGAGAAATCCAGAGCAGAAATATGCTGTTCAGCAGTCTGGTGAGGGTTATTATTTGTGTATTTTGTTACTATGTGATTTACCATTTTTGATTTTAAGCTTACAGACCAGAGCTGCAGGCAGTATGCCTTTTTATGTTTCAATGTAAATATTATGATGACATAAAATATTTATAATACATTACCAAACACACATTGATATGCAACAAATATGTTTGCAGTGTGTAGTGTTTCCATTTTCTAGTTTATTTTCACTTTGTTATTGGTGCTTATGGAATTCATCCTTTTTTATTTCAGATTGATAGGCCTTATTTTAAATTGATGTGCTCATTTTCTTAAATAATAAATATACCTAGCAAACAGGTACTAATAGACAAGCAGCACACAAGTGTGAAATGAAAGAGGTAAAAAAAATGTAGTGCATAACTCTTATTTTTAATCTTTGGGAATATTTTCCCAAATGACCAAAAACAAAGGCTGAATGTTTGCTGACAGTCAGCTATGCATGGATTTCCAAACAATATGCTACTGAAAGATATGAAGAACGGGTACCTAGAGGTGCCTGCACAAAGCTGCAGCAGCTTCTAGTGTCTCTGCTCAACCTGAATGTCAGTCCGCGTTCTGATCATGCAACAATGTGGCACTTTCTGATATTTTCAAAGCTAGCCAGCCTCTCCCAACTTTAACACATTCCTATTGGCCATCGAGGTATTCCATCATAGTGATAGGACTAAAGGGGTGGGGGGGTGGGGGGTAGTATCAGAGATTCACATGATCAGCATGACCTGGCTGGAAAATTCTGAAACCTAATGCAAGTATGTCTAGGTATCTCTAGGTACTTGCACTTTATATCTATCAGCAGATTTTGTTAAAGGAACACGATCACTTAAAAGCAGAACTACAAACACCTAAATATACAACGAATCCAATATATTTGTAAACCATCTTCCAGCCAAAATATTTTCTATCATGTACAACCAGTCAAATGATGTGAGTAATTGATAGTTTCCTGTGCCACATCAGCTAAATACACATACAATATATAATGCTCTGATAAAGCAGACAACTTTGAGGCAAATGTTCACTATCTGTATTGATTGGGAATAGATTGTCCATATGAAAGATCCATTGTAGAAGAAGCAATCTGTAGAACTGGAGTTTTTTTTACATTTTAACACTTGGCAAACAATCTTCTTGCATGTCTAGTGTTCCATCTTACTACCACATAACACATTTCCTGTGCTTGAAATCACAATGTCATGCCTTTAGTCAATATTATCCGCCAATATACCATTTGTATTGTTCAACAAGGACATGAATGATATGGAACATGTCTGGCTGTGGCACTCTGTTATGTATATGGGTCATCTTACTCATTGGGCTAGGAAATCACATTGGTAAGGTCCTGAGTTCTCTGCAGGATTACCTATCCTCTCGTGTATCTTTGGGCCTCAAACATCTTAGAGTAGCAGCATTGTTGTTTTTTAGAACAATATATAATTGGTTTAAAGGGTATCTGGAGTTCTGCTTAAAATTATACTAAAACATTATTTAACACAGTGTGACTGTATTTATATTGTGAGAATTAAAAGAAATCTCACCAAGCTAAATCTTAGTATAAAATTTGTTTAGTAATGTTCTTGGACGTGTCATGTTAGATCAGTTCCTTGCTGACCAAGAACCATTAACTAGGCTGCATTCACACTTGGGCATGTGAGATTTTTGTGCATGTCATCTATCTGCATTGTGGTGCATTGCCATTGATTTTAAATAGCACCTCAATGCACATACACCATTTAAACAAATGCAGTGAAGCACATGTGTTGCTTGCAGTGCCCAAAAGAAAAAAAATAAGGCAGGTGCTTTTTTGGACCATGGACATGCTTTGTGGCTTCATTGAAAATTAAGGGGCACACTTAATACAATGCATTCTACAAGTGTGAATGGGCTCTTCTCTCCCTTACTACAGCCATTGGTTTCAGGTCTAGAATTCGCCTTTATTCTTATGGAATCAGGTTCCCCTTCAAGTTGATGACTGTAGCAGGATAATAGCATGAGATTAACAATTAATATACATTTTCATAGCTGGCTATATAAATATTGTAAAGATGTTTCAGCTTTTTTTTTTCTGAAGCTACGTTTAAATCATTCAGGAATAATAATAGAGATTTGTGAAGCTTTGTACAAAATACAGAAAGATGCTTCAGTAATGCAGGCATCCCTCCCTGTTCATTTTTGTATTTTCATCACAATATGATATATTTAACAGCTGCATAAAAAAGGTGAGAGAGTACATTCTTTATATATTGGATTTCCATCCATAAACAACATACAATTTGGGCATTTTTTCTTACGCAGTTCATGCTCTCTTGTCATCTAGCGAGGTAATGGGAAATATGATTGCAAAGTTTCCTTTACATTTAGTAGAGAGCATTATTATTACTTGTGGAAACAATTCTTCAGTCTGCACAACAATGATATGTATTCTTTTTATTAGATTACGAACCGAGCTGTATTATATTTAATGCACTTGTATGATACTCCCTTTTTAATGTATTGCAAAGTGCAAAGAGGGCATTTTGTTATTAATTTACTCTCTACTTATTTTGTAAGATTTGTATTTTAAGGTCAACTTAGGATATATTTTCATACCTGTCAAATGTCTGATTGTGATTTTTACAATGTTTTATTATGTCGGGTTTTTTTTCATTAAAAGATTAGGGTTTTGTTATATCGCTGTCCCAGTGTATAAACAATATTACAATGAAAATACTTGGAGTTATTGACGAATTGTGCTGTCCCATTTTCCCCCAATTGTTTGCCAGACATCGGTTTTAAATCTATTTGTATGAAAACTAGTAACAATTGCTGTACAAATAGGCGTATGTGGTTGAAGGGCAAATTATATGTCTGCTGGGTTATAAATTCAAGTTTAATGTTCTTTAACAATTCTCTATATCGTGCAAAACAATGCACTTCCTGGAAAACACTAACAATAATGTATACATATACTTTAAGTGCCTATGTTAACACAGACAATTATCACTTGTGAGAGATAAGCATCACTAAGGAAATAATACAATTATTGTCTCTCTTTACCCGTAAAGTAATATAAACTCTCAAACTTTTTGTCAATAATGAATCCAGATCAAATAAATATACATTGCCCAGCAAATTATTTCTTTACATTTTTGCCCAAGCACTTACAGTATTCATGTTCCTGAACAGCTGCTTCTATGTCTCCTAGCTCAGCTTCCCTGAACTTCCTATCCAGTACAAGATCGCAAAGGACAGAGCAAACTGCAGCAACTGTTTATTTACTAGCATGGAGAAGGGAGAAGGAAGGTGGGGGGAGGAGAGGGGAGCAGAGAACAGGAGACTGGTTTGCCTAGCTGTATCTGTGTGTTTGTACAGCTTACTAGCACACACAAGGGTGGCTCCATATGACCCTTGCAAGGGAAAGGAGCCACCGTAAAACAGGATATGAGGGTCAGCGCTCTGGAGACCAGATGATTCTGCAGGAAACTAAAATGTTTAAACATCAAGGGGCAGCATCCATTGTAAGTGATGTAATCAGCATTTGAAATAGCTTAACATTTTTTTGACTTTAATGTTAATATTCACCCAGAACAACCCATCAGATTCAATGCAAAAGAAAATGTGAGTATTTTCGGTAAACTAAGTAGATAAATCAAATTTTTTTACTGGCTCTCACATTAAAGGGCACCAAAGGAGGCACATCTTTTAGGTGACTCCAAAATCTACCCTTAAAGTAACCACTTACCTGCCACCACCATACATGTTGCATTGGGGCAATCAAAGTCTGAAAGCCGGCTGCAGCTGTGAGTTTGCTTTAAATGTTATTCGCCAGCTTCAGTCCTTTAAATATTTGGGTCACTTCTACATATAGTTAGCTCCCCACAAGCACACAACCTAAAGTCCTAAGGCCCCTCTAGCACCCCCCTCCAGGACCACTTCAGGATAGAGAGCGGTGATCTCCAGTTCACCAAAC